GCCTTCTTTAAAATTCAATGCATATGTAAAGAAATATACGGTAACCCGAATTTACCACACTCGCAAAATCGCACACAGCCAACCATACACCCAGTATGGTATCGCGATTCGTGATTTTGCGCTATCATACTGGGTGTATGGTCGGCTGTGTGCGATTTTGCGAGTGTGGTAAAATCGCATAACAGCAAAATCGCATAACAGCCGAGCATACACCCAGCAGCGCTGCTGATGCCTGAACGGTATGTGGAATGAAGTGGGCGGGCATCGGGAGGCCACTATGGCACGGGGCAAGCACTATGGGCAGTCTATCTGAAGTGTACCTGGCGTATAAGACGACCCCCCACTTGGAGGCATATTTTTCAGGGCCAAAAAATCGTCTTATACGCCGGCAAATACGGTACATTATGTCCTATAACAGGACCATTCTATAAGATCTTTCCATATAAACTTGTCACATCTAGATACAATGGGAAAGGTAACAGTGTTTTTGCAAAGACCTACAAGTGGCCAAACATTAGAAAGGCCTTACAGCAAATGCAAAGCAAATCAGCTGAAATGAAAATCCCCCTCTCAGCTCTTTCTCCCTTTTCTAGCGAGATGAGACACTTCTGTGCTCTAGATACAAACACCTTAATTACTAAGTCAGACACATGACGATTGTTTTATTAAAGTTCACGTTAAATTTGGAATGATGCTCTAGTATTTCTTCCAGATAAATCCTCATTCATCAAAATTCCCTGGCTGCCCACCCCCTCCACTGTACCTTCTACCTTCTCTCTCTCTGTTCCTGCCCAAGGTCATACTTGGATATGAAGCTGCATCCCCCTTGCAAGTCCCACCAGAAATCCCATCACATTAAGCATCTCATGATTTTATTGAAGATTGATAGGGGGTAGTAGAAGGTGGCCACATTGTAAATGACATGACCTATGTCTCTCTCCTGGCAATCAATGACCTCCCTTACTTCCTCTTAAAAGATCAAGATTCCTCTGCTCCTTCCCAAACCTCACAGTCCTTAATCATAACCTTGTGAAACTCTCTGGAAAGTGAGGTATGGTACCCCCCCCCCAAGTATAATGTATATTTCAAAGCCCACCCAAGCCTATCTGGATTCCTCAACTCTAGTATTCTGGGGCATAACATTTTCTGTCACTACATCTACACTGTAAGACAACTTTTGAGATGTTTTCAGCTCATAATGACAGTCCTCTGAGACTGAGTGTTAGTGACCCTGTATTCCCAGCTATGCTGGACCAGTCAGGATCTCTTACCTGGGAATTTGGTATTTTTATTTTATTATTTTTTTTCTATCATCATTTATCGCCTCTATGCCCTCTTCTACCTCCCCTCCTGGGGAATTTTAGATTTGAACTAAAGGTCTTCAGTTTTGATCCCTTTGTGGGGCTGGGCTTGAAGCACGTTCATTCTGAGCTGAGGGGCAGCCAGTCTATGGAGAGAGAAATCTGTTCCTCAGAGAAAGAAATATATTAAGAAACTTTTAGCCCTGACTGGTTTGGCTCTGTGGATGGAGCATCGGCCTGCAGAATGAAGGGTCCGGAGTTTGATTCCGGTCAGGGGCACATGCCTTGGATGCCTGGGTTGCAGGCTTGATCTCGAGTAGGGGGCGTGCAGGAGGCAGCTGATCCATGATTCTCTCTCATCATTGATGTTTCTCTCTCTCCCTCCTTCTTCCTTTCTCTCTGAAATCAATAAAAATATATTAAAAAAATAAAAGGACTTTTAGCTGGAGGTAATAGAATCCTTGACTCAAGAGGTTTCATGCTTTCCTGAGTGTGTCTGTAATGCTGTCTTTGTTGGTTATTCTTGTTTCTCTAGTCTATGCTGATGGGCCTCTGTGTTAATGCCCAGTGTATATGACAGGTGTCCAGTATAGGTGTCCTTAGAGGGCCAGTCTGGGCCTCCTATTCCACAGTTCCCTGATAAGGAAGCCCCCAGCTCTAGCTTGACCATTTCTTCTCAACTGCTGCCTCTTGTTACGAGGGTCACCTCTCCCAGCAGCAGCCTTGTTGGGTAGGGACTGGGGACAGTCCACGTTCAGGCACCTATTCCAATGTGCATATCCAGGGAGAATATATTCCCTGTCACACCAGACTACTTTCCCCTCTTGGCCTTTTCTTAGAGCCAGCTC